ATGTTCTTACCTGTGAATGAACTGACTTGTACAGTTGATGTGAACTGCCACCCTGCAAACGGATTTGATAAATCAAACACAGGAACTTGGTAAATCCCCTTAACAGTCGTGTTTTAAGAACAAGCCAACTCTTCTAATGGCAAACTGTTGCTAGCTTTTCAATTTTTGCTTTCCTTGTCTTTTGATTGAAGCAGCAGAATTTGTCACAAAAAGGTAAATTATAAAGAGTTTCAAAAGTTGAAGGTACTATACCTGAAAATCAGTTCTCCCACAACCCCGTATGAGTAAAGCATCTCCAGTGAAAGCCATCCTTGGTTAGGGCTGATTAGGCCCTTCTCCTGTAACATAGGCAACACAACCTAATGTATGCCCAGCAGTAGCTCGAACCTGCAACACAAATGCACACATGAGATACATATATACAAAGGCACATACATGCACATACACACACACACCCGACACAGAGAACCACAACACTAACTAGTCCAAAACCAGTAAGATACATACATAACTTCTTTTAGTAGGTTGTTTCTTTAGGCCAATTTGTCACAACATATGCACACGTGAAAACACACACACACACACAAGCATACCCTTTTCTGTATACACATAAAACTACCTAGTTCAAAATCAGTACGGACCAGACAAATTTTGTTACAGTAAATTATTTCTTTTGGTCACTTCTATATATATTTCACAGGAAGAGGAACTCGGTAGACCACAGCCTATACCAGTTAAGTTTTGTATTCATTCTACTTTATCGGTCCAAAAGCAATTAATTCAATAAAAGCCGACACTTTAGTATTCAAAACCTCATTCTGAGCTTTAAATCAGGTCATGCTTTAGATCGAAAGGGCACTTAATTAATTAATTATGACGATTAACATAATTAAAAAGATTCGCTACTACTGTGACTAGTCTGCCAATAATTAATTTGCTGCCAACATTTACACTCAAAAGCATAAATAGAAGCATACGAAACTCAGAACTCAAATAGTGAGAAACAAATACACTCAAAAGAGTACAAACATAAATTGAAAAGGAAGATGTTTTGTCTTACCTGTAGTTATCAAGATTTAGTACAGATAGAGATAAGAGACTCCACCAAAGGCAGATGCATGAGCTCCAAAGGGAACGCAAAATTTGGACTTCAACTGACCACCAAATGAGTTGTTGAAGGTTATTGCGGTGCCCCTACTCAGTCTCTGAAAGAAGGCACCCATTTTCAGTAAACAATGTCAAAAACCCACAACCTTAATAAACTGAAAAATAAGCTTCAAATTGCAACATGCAACATCTATGAAAAATAATAGAACTCAGATGAAGAATAATCAAACCCTAAACTTAAAAATTCTATGTATAACAAATTACCCAAATCAAAAAATGCCGTGTATAGATCTGCCAAACTATGACTTTAACTTTACTAAAATTTCGAAAATAGAAAGTAATTCACAACACAGAGAACATGAGCAATCTCAGAACCATAACAAAGAACAAGGCTAGCTCTCAACATCTAGAAAAATTGATCTCAGAAACTAGCATAAATTCCGCACAATCATTTCCAATTGTGATAAAGATAGAGCAATTAAAACGCAAACATGGAGCGCACGCAGCAAAAACAAACGCTTACGAGCAAAAGCGAAGAGAAAAAGATCAGATCCACAAACAGAACAAAAACGACGCTAAAATCAGCTAGAAATGTACAGTAAAGTCAGAAAAACGACGCCAAAATCAGCTAAAAATGCAGCATAAAGTTTACAAAACGACAGTGTCTCGGACTCGTAAAAGCAAGCACATACCGGTAAAGGATCGGAGTTACGAAACCCTAGCTGAAGAAGAAGCCTTGAGAGGAAGGAAGGAGACGACCGAAGAGCACAGATCTCAAAACGAAGAGAAGGCAGGCAGAGAGGAGGAGTGAATGGGGCGCTCAAGTAGAGGAAAGCAATAAGCAGCTGTACGTGTTCCCGCTCTCTTTGTGCCTTCCATTTAAAGGAAAAAAAAAAAAGGGGAAAAGGAAAAAAAACAAAATTAAAGTGAGAAATTCCCAAGTTTTGGTGCTACGAAAATGCTTTTGGCATCCGTATATTCTGGCCAACTGAATAGAACGTGCCTCCAGCTGGCACTGATCCGCTACGTGTCTCAGCCTTATTGGGTTGGTGCAAGGCCCCACCCTCGGACAAAGAC